CTGGAATCGAGTCGTCTTTAGCGATGACTCCAGGTTTACCCTCATATTCGCGAACGGCAGGCATAGAGTCTGGAGACGACGTCGTGAACGGTATGCTCAATGTTGTGTACAGGAAGTCGACAGATTCGGTGACGGAAGTTGCATGGTTTGGGGTGCTTTCTGTGGGAACAACCGTTCCCGACTTCTGGTCATCCGTGGAAACCTCACAGCTGCTGCTTACCGCGACCAGGTGCTCACCCCTGAACTCGTTCCTTTCATGGCGGCTCATGGCCCAGGTCTACAGTTCCAGCATGATAATGCTCTGCCGCATACCGCGATGTTGACATGAAATTTCCTTCAAAACGCTGGAATCAACGTCATGGACTGGCCATCGAGGTCCCCTGACCTTAATCCAATAGAGCACGTTTGGGATGCACTTGGGAGAAGGCTTCGTGGTCTTAGGAACCAACCTCAGAATTTGCAGGAACTTGGCGCTGCCTTGCAAGAGCAATGGCGGAGAATCCCCAACCACGTGTTCACAAGCATCAGGCAGTCGATGAGGAGACGGTGTTTGGCAGTGGTGAATGCCCGGGGCGGCCATACACGATACTGAACTGAGAAATTTCGCATTTTTATTCTTGTGACTTGACATTCTGTATACCCATGTTTTGGAACGGCGGTGTAGCCTAATGGAACTGATTATGGCACTGTCAGTGTATCGAGTACATCACACAGATCTCAGCAATGAAATAATAACAATTTAACCATCTTACCATCTCTTGTTCTTTATAGTGCCCTGAAGAAAGAATGCGAAGTTTCTTTTTTGACTCAGTATATTTACATACATTGTGTTCGTCGGGTTGTTGAGGGTCTGAAAACAGGACGTTAGAGGAGCACTATGTGGTACTTGATGAGAAAAGAAAGGTTCTAGCAACAGAAAGTACATATGAACATATCGAAAATGCAACGCCCAACTACAATACAGTCGATTATGTTTCGGACGAAACTGGATGAGAAGACAAAGGTTCCAGTGACAGACAAGTAGAGATGAACATTTTGCCAATGAACCGTTTTAAGGCTGATCATATTAAGGAAGAACTGAATGATTTTTTTATTGTCTGTCGTGGCATTTGTTTGAGTACAGAATCCCTGCACAAGAAGGGTGCTTCCGAGTCTTTTATTGGTATGCTACATAGGTCATCATGGACCATCCGTTCAAATTTATTTTAAAGGTTTGAGTCACGATGTGACTATAAATCCTAACTCACCCACTCACTCTACTTAATTTTACTTTCTGCCTCGTACATTTGCTGTCTATAACTACAAAGGTTTACGACGATTGCGTGTCTGCACTTCACCAGTTAACGAATATGTAACAAGCATCGTTCAGTTACACAGACTGCATTATATTGAATATTACTAAGGTGCTGTTATTTCTATATTTGTGCATAGTATGAACTGTGTCTACAGAACCTGGTAATATTTTGTGAAATGATTCGTGATGGCCTTTGGTGGTGAAACTTTTATTGAACAGTATATTTGTAAGAAACCTTTGACATTTAAGATACGCCAAAATTGTGATCTGAGGATGTATTGATCAAAATAAAGAGTTTGCAATTTGGTTTAATGACTTTCTTAAGATTGTTGTACCAAGATTTGCAATATGTTTTAACATTGTGTGGTGTGGTGTGGTTATGTGTTGTTACACGTTTCTTATTTCTGTATCCTCTGTTACAATAACTATGCAACTGTGGTACGACAGAGTGCAGAGGTGAATGTTAAAAGCATGACATGTACACGTAGCAAAGCAGTGCAGAAATTGTGTAATTTGTATAGATAGTTTGTACAGTCTGCCTTGCATTAAATCTGATAACAGGTATACCTGGAAACGTTTACCCACATCATGCACAGATGTGACAAATGCTATGTCTCGATAAATGCGTCCACTTCATTTAATTGCTGGTTGCCTGGACATGCATGTTTGTACAGACAGGCAACTGTGAGCTGTTGGTGTAAGTGGGGAGTAGAAACATCTTATATGTGGTGGTGCGGTGCAGCGCGATGCGGTGCTGCGGTTTTGTGTGTAAATTTATGTGCGTAAATGAGCTGTGTGCAAATGTGTCTGCATCTTCTGTTACAATAAGCAAAAAATAAGCAGCCATGATAATTGAAAATATAAAAGTGGATTTTAGACCAGAGTATGTACTCGTAGCAAAGTCGTTTCGTGGCTAAAGAGACCTACAACAGTTGACAGGTTGCTTTTCACAGTCAATAACAAATCACACGTTTACATAGAGCATGCAGACCAGTGACAGACACAATGTTGCGATCATGTTTTCCCCATGTGATATACACAATTTACGTCCTGGTAACCTACACATGTATTGCTGTTCATTGCATTGGACAACTGTGAGCTTTATATGCAAGAGGTAAGTAGAGACAGTGTTCGTCATTTTGCCCTGATCAGCTGTGTGTATATGTGTGAAAGGTCATCCTGTGATTAATACCATTATGTGATTGGTCTTAAGATTCTTTATGTGATAACATTCAGTTATTATCATGCGACTTAGATATAACAAGATGACCATACATAATTACCTGTGCTTTTCTATGATCTAGACCAAATCTTAGTCTATGAAAGCATTTCTTCAAAACATTTGTAATACGTATCTTTTACAAGGACTGTTCCTCTTCTGCTATTTTCACATGTAGAATCAAGGATATTTGACTCAGTTTAGCTTGATTTAAACTTGTGCAGACATTCAGCAAATTGTAAATCATATGTATTTGTATACAAATAGTAAAACCATGAGATTTAGAAGTTGGTGGGGTAATACAAGACGCTTCATATGGACATGCAACTTCTTTATTATTTACACACGACGTTTTTGGGCTAATACTTGTCCTTTCATCAGGGGAAGTGTCAAAAAAAAGGATGCTAAATGTGCACCTGATGAAGGGGCAAGTATTAGCCCAGAAACGTCGTGTGTGAATAATAAAGAAGTTGTACGTCCATATCAAGTGTCTTGTAGTAAAATCATGGTACTGAACTATGTATAACAATACACTATGCACAGTAAATATAACCATATCACTACTTTTTACTATGCAAACAGTCTTGAATGATCATATTAGAAGATGGTGAATGTTAAGTAACTCCAAGAAAGAAAGAAATTACATAGATCACCTCACTCATAAAAATGTTATCACTGTTGTGTCGACCATCATAAAGGATAGATACTTCAATGTGAAAACAGTCAAGGATCGTTTTAACACTGTTAATTTTCATTTAATTAATGTGTTGTTTTTTTAAGAAATTGATTTAATAGATGAATTTTGAATAATATGTTCTGTAGATAGATGTGTTTTAATGATTAGTAGTTTAGATTAGTAACTTAGATTGTTGGTGGTTGTACCCTCTTTTTATATTGTATAGTTATATATAGTTAAAATATTTTAGATTTAAGGACTAGATTTTAATTAATATCTGTGATAATCTAGTTATTTTACTGTCCTTCGTTTACAAAATTTTATAATTTATCTTTAATTGTTAACATATTTATAACTTGATTTAGTCACGATATGGCTGAAATACTGCCGATGTGACTTAAAACCTTAACTCACTCACTTATTCACTGTTGTGTCGAACTTTGATGTGTCAAGATTACGGTTTTCTTAAGGAATAAGCACTGTCCCTTCGGATGCTTTTTGTTCAGCAATGTTCGGTTTTGTCGAATCTCGGATAACTCGAATTATGCATGTTGGCACCTTCGTATTCGACAAAACGGTGTTTGACTGTATGATGTTTATAACTAGAAATAGCAACTTACGTTCTTACTCCATGGGAGCATAAATAAAAAAAACGGCTATACACTATCACTACCAGTACCATTCAGCTGTGTTTGTTAACAGCTTTGCATCTCTCATTCGTCAATGATTAGCCTCTCCTTAAATGACTTTATTTACGATCCGTCCCTAAGAACGTCCATGTTTTATGTACGCGTATTTATTTTGCTATTGCGAGTACAGATATCTTCCTGAATATTTAGATAGGAAGATACCTGCATGTGAGGAAAAACACGAACACTTAATGCAGCATAAACATGTCCTCACGTTGTTACAGTTTCCCGTGTACATAAAATGAAAACCCTCAACATGTTCATATTTTACCAAATGAAATTGTGTACATGAATGTCCAAAAACAGAAAAAAAAATAACACTGTGTATGGAAGCTGCAAATATATATCACCGTCGTGAGTAAATATTGTTTAAAACCACATCAGCAGTATTGCAGTTATTCGCGACTACACCGTCAGTTATAGAAATGTCACAATAAAGAGTTTCTCCATGAGGAAACATGATACACGGCTAGCATATTCATTGAATAAAATTCGAACAATAACACATGACTGGGAGATTGCGGTAATGTCCATTACGGTATTTCATGGTAAAGAGATGAAAAAGTCATGATGAAAGCGTGTCTAAGTTTGTCAATATGGAACTGGTGTATGGGCGTGTCTGTGGATTTTGTGCGGTTCAAACGTGCTTTCACTCCACTAAACTAAATGATGAACACGTTAGTTACTCACCACCAACGTGTTGGCCACACACATTCATTTTTCAAATTCAACATTTTGTTATAGAGGTGATCGCCGTCACATCGTTGAAATATAGAAGAAACAATATCATTAAAACTGGAGCCTTTATTTTCAAAATAAAACATACGCTCATGTTGTTGAAACCAATTCTATCACGCTGTTTCGATATTCAACACTTGTTGTTTACTAAGTAGCTGTGAGATGAGAATTTTTATTTTTGCAAGTAGTCGAACAAAGGCTATTCTAGGTTGCATTGCTTTGCGAATTGTGTTGAGGTGGAGATGTATTTCTTGAGACCTCTTTCGTCCACCTTGACAAAGGTATCTGCTTTTCTCGTAATGTACATGGACACATCTGTACTCATTTAGGAAATAATTGCTTTGAACATATGAAACCAGCAGCGAACCTCGATACTGTTGGTCGCGTACCGATCCGTCGAATTTCTGATTTCAGAGTAGTAAAATGCATTCGACGGATCGGCACTGTGATCGTAGCTATGAATTAGTTATGTTATCAAAACATTGGATCATACCAAAATGAAGACGCAGGGGGTGTTGGATGGTTTGACTCTATGTATTTTTTTGTACTTTTGTACAGTATATATCTTTGCCTACTCATATGATACAAGGAGAAATTGATGCATTAAATATATGTTTGGACTCTATATATATGTTTTTAGTTTTGTACAAAATTGAAATTGATGTATTAAATAAAATGCATTCATAAGGCAAAATATATAGTTCGTGATGTTCAAACTTCTCGAGTAGTAATTTAGACTTGGTGCATAAATCTGGGAGTATACTTATGTAAGTTATACAAAGTCGCACGGTAGAGTCTCTCAATTCTCACATATCTTTGTTATAAAAATTGCTCAAAATAAGGTAAGTTTTTCATTTTGGTTGGCTAGCGGTCCTACAAACTTATAAAAAAAAATGGGTGCTTTGTATATTATTCTGGTAGATACTTTTGTCTGCTCTCCTCATACCTAGGATATACAAGGAGGACATGGAACTCGTCTTCATCTGTGTTTCTACAGAACGGGCAGAGCGCTGCATCAGGGTCAAGGTTTTTAGCCCAATACAAGCCGACCCCTTAATTAATGAACTTAGACTCTCCCAGTGTGTTAACACAGTCTGAAATTCGACCGATTAGCAGGGTTCACACCCATAACCCCTACATGCCACTACCCCTACACTCCAGTACCCCTACAGCTAGTTAAAACAACACCTAGCATTTACCTGTCTGATATAATAGACTAATCCTAAAGAGGGATTAGTGCATGGAGCATAGATGAGATCAAGGGATGCATAAATGTGATTAGTCTTTTGTGGCAAGGAAATTAGTGGTCTCATGATGAAAACAAACCTCAACCCTGAGTAGAAGAAACATACAATTGGAAAAGTGTTGTGATTGCTAAATGTTGTTAAGAAAAGTTGTTATAGTGCACTTTAATGTTACATATATTACAATGTTGAGAAGTTGAGAGAAATAAAACGTGGAGATGATACAGGAAATTGAGATTGTTCCATACAGTATATAAGTGCTGACATGAAACAAACATGGCATCAACATGGCTGGTCTTCGCAATGTTGAGTTTGTTATGTCACGGAGAGGTAGCCGTCAAGTTCTGTTGGATGGATATCTTCACACTAAGAATGTTGAGCGACAGACCTGTGTACACTGGAAGTGTGTGCAGTCAACATGCAAATGAAGAGTCACAACTGTTGGCGATGTGGTAAGAAATACGACTGAACACAATCACCCACCAGAGGATAGCCAGAAGGTCCGGTTTGTCAGCAACCTGAGGAAGAGAGCCAGGGAGGAGTCAATACCGATGCGCACCATCTACAACAACGAGCTTACCAACCTGACTGATGACGAGACACGTACCATGCCCTCCTTTCCATCTGTTAGCAGTGCCCTGTACCGCCACCGCCAGAAGACGATTCCTGTCTTACCACAGACGAGATCAGAAGTCAACCTCCAAGATCCCTGGACGCAGACAGCAGATGGTAGACCATTCCTCCTGTTTGCGGACGGCCATGACGACAAGATCTTGGCCTTCGGAACACAAGAGAGTCTTGAAGCCTTGCAGTCAGCTGACAACCTCTACATGGATGGAACTTTCACAGCCTGTGCTGCACTGTGGAATCAAGTATACATCATCCATGCAAGACGTGGCAGCTCAACATATCCCCTCATCTTCGCCCTTCTTCCGGACCGCCAGACAACAACCTACTCCAGACTCTTCCGATTGCTCAAGGATGAAGTTCAGCAGAGACTCAACAGACCGCTTGATCCTGCCTGCATCCAGACCGATTTTGAGCTAGCAGCAATCCACGCCATAGAAACAGAATTTCCCACTGCTGACGTGAAGGGCTGTTTCTTCAGTTTCTGTCAAGCCATCTGGAGGAAGGTTCAGGATCTTGGACTAGCTGTTGCCTACAAGGAAAACCCCGAAGTCACCAAGTGGATCAGGAGAGCAGCTGGACTACCTCTACTTCCTCAAGCCGCGGATGACACTCCTGACGTCCCAAGAGCTGGCGACTTCAACGACTACATCGTGACAACATGGGTCGACGACACTGCCAGATTTTTTCTTCACCTGTGGAACCACAACTTGACAGCTGGGCCGAGGACAAACAACAACCTGGAAGGATTCCACAACCGTCTGAATCGAGAAATTCCACACAGGCACCCGAACATCTACAGATTTGTAGAAGTCATCAGGAGAGTCGAACACGCCGAGAGAGTGAGGATTGCTCAGATTGACTTTGGTGCTGCGCCAACAAACAGAAAACGAGTGTACAGAGAGATCGACAACCGTCTGTGCAGACTCAAGGAACAGCTTCAGCGTGGACAGAAATCCCCTCTTCAGTTTCCTGACGCCGTCGGCTACCTGCTCAAGCTTGGATAGACTGTAACACTGACACTTGAACACTTGTGATAATGTAATAATGTGGTCTTTCTCTCATCCTAATATGTTGATATGAAACACTTGTGATAATGTGATCTTTTGTTCATCCTTATATGATGATATGAAAACACTGAATGTAAATAGACTGAAAAACTTGACAATTATTGATCTCAATGTGTGATGTATTAAGGTCACACTTTTGATAATGTAATAATTTGGTTTTTCTCTTATCCTGATGTGATATGAGATGAGATGATTAAAACACTGAATGTAAATAGACTGAAAAACTTGACAATTGATCTCAATGATGTGGTACTTTGTGATAACACATGTATTAAAGTCACTTTTAAAATCTGTCTTGTGTCATGTTGTGCATCTTAAGTGGACCAGTCCACTGTATGGAATAGGTAACAGGCAGGAGATTAGTTATGCAACAGACCATAAACTATGTTGTTATAAGCTGTAGGGGTAGTGGCATGTAGGGGTAATGGGAGGTTACCATTAGCAGAGAACCACTCAAGCATGATTCGACGGACGGGCACTGCTGGTTGTTCAAAATTCGACAGATTAGGCCGTAACCCTACTGTTAACTTGTGAACCAGTCAATAGTTATATAATCAGTGCATATTCCATGACAAATATTGTTTGTATTCCGAGCGTCGTCAAAAAGTGAACGTGTTTAATGTTTCATATATTACTTACGTCCACATGTAAAAGTAGACGTAACACTAAAGTACTGTCGGAAATAGAACAAAAACCAACTGTTTTTAGGCTATTACTCTGTATCCCTAAACTGTACATAATTACAAATAGCATATGTCGAAATAACCATCATCGGCCTAACTGAGCGTTCAGTAGGATGCTTAATAGAATATCAAGAAAAGCATGTTTACTCGTAAAATCGGTCAAAACCTAGAAAAAATACAAATAGCTGCTGAAAAATAATAGATCAGAATATAGATGGCAATTAGGTCTCTGAGCCAGGAATGAAGACGGACCGTCGATTCACCTGGCATGAAATGCATGTGCTGCATACAGGCACAAGGGGTCATCTCAAAGATACTTTATGCTTTTTCATGTGCGTTGTATATGTCTCATCTATTGATTAACATCTTACGTTTCCTTCTTCCATAAAGTTTATGTTGAGATATGTAAAGGTGCATGATACCCATAGAAAAGCTTAAATTAGCCATCGTATTAAATGTCTAAAAATATATAGGTGACATGACCACCCGAAGATCGACAGGACTAGATATTATTTGTAAATTGTGATGACATGCCGTTTACTTTCCCAGTTTACTTCTCCTAAAGGATTATATCATCCTTAGCGGATATCTCTATCCCCTAGCCCGACCCCCACCACCGTCTGCGACACCGGCTCCGTCCTGGTTTTGCTTTTGAGACGACCCCTCCGAACCAGTTTCTTTTCATAGTGATAGTGAGACTCCAGGGTACCTTCGTCCTTAATAGTTGCAGTCTTAAAGTTATTATTTTTACGTCAGCTATCGTATATAATGAAGCTAATTTTAATGTCAAAATGGGCATTCAAAAAGTTTCCTTTGTAATACAATATCGTCGCAAACTAATTTGCATAAAGCCATGGTCTGTCACAAATAAGTCGCTTTCGACTTGGAAAATTAACTGCATTGCTCATTTCTGCACTAATCTCTCCTCAGTAATGTCCTGTTTCTACGCTTCCTATCTCCCTACCCATGGGCGGATCCAGGAATTTTGAAGGGGGTGGGTGGGTGAGTGGGTGGGTGGGTGTGTTTCAGGGGGTTCAAACCCCCACATTGGCTCCGCCAACGGAAAAATAGAATCTTCAATGTGGTCTTAAGTCATTTTCAAAAGGGGGTGGGTGGGGTTCGAACCCCCTGAACACCCTTCTGGATCCGCCATTGCTACCAATGAGACTGTAGTTAGGCCGAACTTATTTTAACAGATTTTTCACATTTTCACATATTAACTACATAAATTGTAGATATAAATGCGAAAAAAATAGTTTTTGCCTATTTCGGACAATGCTTTAGGACACAAATCCACTGTCATGTGTTGACAATACTGCAACCCGTCAGTCGACACCCAAGACGCTATCAGACAGAACTTCCTTTCACCCAACCCCCCTAGTTGACAAGGAGTAGGTAACCATTCCTCCATGTATACATGGCCAGTCCGACCCACAGAGGAATAGTAAAACACTACATACTAAATAAATGTTTATCTATTATCTCTGGCTATTCTGGGTTTGCATTTTATCACATTTCCTCAACATTCCAGTAATAATAACAGAAGCATTTATAGCACGTGTCCATAACAAAGTGATGATACCAAAGATGCAAATTAAACAGGCCTCATTAACAAACGCAGATGTTATGTTTATGTACTAGTACCTCATTTGGACCCATCTGTGCAGTCGCAAGTTGCCTCATGAGTATGGCGTGCGTGCAGCTGAGATATCCCAATAAGTCTTACAAAATTGCATTTGTAATCAACTGAGACAACAATGAATGTATATACATTAACTGTTCTGCGCGTCCCACATATACAACCAATTGTATATCAAGTCAGCAGAGAGGATAAAAAATAGGTAACTTCTCTGAACTCTGAGTGTGCATCCATCCAGCCATGGACATGTACCATGTATTACAATATTCCTGCCGGGTAGTATTTTACTGTGACATGGTTTCAGTGAGATCGAGAAACAAGTCGTATTAAATGACCGGGTACGCATAACAAGATCAGCCCATGTGCACATCCAGTAAACCAATGTTTCCAATCAGTAAACTTTAGTGAGATTTTCAGTTAAGAAAGTCGACCCAGATGAAATTAGAAGGAGAAGCATGCCCCGTGTGACTATATATACAAGCATGTTGTCATGTGAAATATGGACAGGGAGCAGAATGAACGCTAATGATTGTTTCGTTGCAGGTTCCATCCCCCGGGAACAAAGCCAAACACAATGGCGTGGTTTTTGACCACGGTGTTGTTTTTCTCCATCACTCGAACACTCACTGGCAGGACATTTTATAGGGTATTTTGGTAGTTGGTATGTAACCATTAGTATGAACTCTGCATCTGGTACTATGTTTCTTGTAGTCCATGACATCATGCATACAACAGTTCTATCTGACACGTCGTATAAGATATGATTAACTGGGACTAAATATTAAGTGGCAGTGAACAAGATGTTCAGGAAAGATGTGCTCAGGAAAGGTGAAACATATTTTTTTCTGATGTTTTTTAAATGTTAAAAGTAGATATAATTGAAAAGCTAAAACCAAGAAATCAGTTTCTTGTTTCTTCATCTCTTCAGCTGCCGAGTGTCACTGCAGCACTGCAGCTGCCTGTGCCGTGTTCCCCTCTACTCCCCGTAGCCAGGTCGACGATCCAGACAGATGTCAGGAAGGATGGTACGGTTCCCATTGCCAGAGACGTGAGTATTGGAATTTTACATTACGTGTATCAATGTGCAAGTTGATCGAACTTATGTCCCGTTTAAATAAAACAATGTCAAGCATTGAAGAAATCCATGTCTGTAGTACTTGCCAAAGTGTTTTCTGCCTAAAACATGTGTCGAAGTCCTTTTAGAACCTATATGTACCTATATATACAAACACATTAAGCAATGACCAAACCTCCCTTTGGGTCGCATGTTACTCTCACTTAGACACGCAGACTAATTACTGATCGCATCCTAGTCAATATGACCAAAGTATAGTTTATGTCCACGGAACTAAGTTAGTGAGTTACAAGTTTACATTATATTGTCTATATTGTAGCCATATGCCGATTGAGTAAACATTAATTATATTTAAATGTCTGTCGATAAAGAACAGTACAACAGCAGGTCACAGTTTATGTATAACACATACCAATTCCATATTAAAACAAATATCATTAAGTATAACTTACAACAGACCACAAGTAGGCAAAGCAAGACCACCCTTCTGCAGACCAAGGAGACTTACAGAGATTCTGCTTCCTACGTGGCAGAAATTATATATCTAGACATAAACATTAAATTATGAAGCATATTCTTAATACTATAATGTATAGAAATATATAGAAATGGTGGTATAGCGGGTTCTTCGTAAAATGCAAAATGCAATCACATTTGAACAAATCCATTTACGTCCTTGTTGAATAGTATCGCAAGACAACGTGTGGAACAAGTTCTTTCCGGTACTATCATATCTTGGAAAGTTAATTCAACTCTACGATTTCTTAAACTTAATGACCTATGACTGTCTATGAATGGGAGGCATAATTTGTAGTGTTCATTTTGTTTTAACGTTCATACGCACCCTGATATATTCCTGAGTCTCAATTCCCTGGTTTATTTGCCACATTGGAGAAGGCCACAGAAAGAACAACAAAATGCTTTAAGAAGTGGTTACAAACCGGAATTGAAATTGCTGAGTAGTATGTTTGTATTAGTTTCTTCTACATGTTTCAATTACGAATTGCGAATATACACGTATAAGCGCAGGTTTCTTGACTATGTGCGCATAATGTTAGAATCAGTTGCTGCAAAGAAAGATAGTCATATCATATTTAGTCCTGTCGAAATGGTATTTGTTTGCTGTAACCCTTTCTCCATATTTGATTCTTGTGATGGAATTTTATAGAGCAGCTACATTAATTGCCGCCGTTATTCCCACTATTGTCTCATGTGGATGATCTTGTACATCGTTTCACTTTCTTCAGGAAATATTGCCTTGGGACGAAGTGCCTCACAGAGTACTACTTACATTGAAAACAGCGTCAGGACAGGGAATACAGAACACCGATACGACGCCAGGTACGGCGTGGATGGCAGAGCTACTACCGACTTCTATAGTAAACCACTGACATGTACAAATACCGCCGAAGGAGATCAACAGCCAACATGGGCTGTGTACCTGAACATCTCAAACACAGACAAGATACAACACGTCAAGCTGTATCTACGTCAGGGCCGTGAGTATGGGTCTCGCAATACAAATCCGTACTCTTTACATAAATGGAACTATCATGTTCAACTAGACATGCACTTTTACTTGTAAATGCAATTTATTACTATGCCTTTTGCTTTTTGCCTGGTGCTGACTCAAATGTAATATTTGATATTTGAAGTAACTATTGTCACATTGAAACCAGTACTGGAGAGAAACAGGGGGATGAAGATATATGTTGGTGGACAGCTGTGCTTCCAGTGGTCAATGGACACATACCCGCCTGCTATAGCTGATGTCAAATGTCAACAAGCACTAACAGGAAACAACCTCACTATTCAGACAAGCGATTATCTCACGGTGTGCGAGGTGCAGATATTTGGTGGGTTAACATAGCCTTATGGGCTTGTGAGCGGCAGATTGTTATTTTAGCGTTGATTTGCACATTAAGTCACTCATTTCAGATGGTGATACTTCTTGGTTTTAATGCTCAATTGTTCGCCTAATATATTTCGCTTGCTTTCTCAGACACTTGATATCGCTATCACAGACAATTTTTCACGTGGCATTTACCAAAGTTCAAATTACACGTAATATAATGGGCATAACACAATCGAAATACATGATACGTGATTTTATACGTGCTGTGCAATGTGGCTTAGAATTCACTTCGGCGTTTGTGTTTGCATATTTTACCAGTGACTTTAAAAAGCAAAGTTATCTGAGAACACAATTAAAAGTTCAGATTTCGAAAGATACATCGATATACGATATATTGTACGTTTCAACCATGAATTAAGAGAGTAGGTATGATCAAAACTCACTGTTAATTCTCACTGAAGGTGTATTTGGACATAATTGTCATCTACATATTATCGCTTACAATGATACAAACTGTTGGACATCTGGACTTCCGACAAAGGAGCCTACTTGACTTTACTTGTCCTTTTCGGGTAATCGAATTTACGATTTTTGTGGAAAAAAGAAGCAAACTTAGTACAAGGGCTTTTTTCCGATGGCTAGGTCGTGCATCTCTTTCAGATTCGATGTTGGAGCTTTAATCGAACTCGAGATGAATGATGCACAGTTTGGTCACACTATGTGTAAATATTCGAACGTTGTCTCCCTTTTCTGTTCAATGCGCACTTTTTTTAAATCACGAAGGCCTTGATGCACCATAAGGGTTAAGACAGTACTGATAGTCTGGGTATGTAGACGCAATAACCACACAGTGGTACCTTTGAAATAAGTCTCACGCAGCATAGTGACGTCATTCCTTTATCAATTGGCACCAGTGACGTCACATTACAAGGAACTGAAGCCACTGAGGCTTTATTATGGTATTAGGACCTTCAGTAAATGTGCAAAATATGGATGGCTGACTGACTGACTGAGTTTAGTTTTACACCGCTTTTAGCAATATTCCAGCAATATCACGGCGGGGGACACCAGAAATGGGCTTAACACATTGTGCCCATGTGGGGAATCGAACCCGGGTCTTCGGCGTGACGAGCCAACGCTTTAACCACTAGGCTACCCCACGGCCCCTAAAATATGGATGGAACTAATGCAAACAATAAATGCAAAATGAACATACCTGTGCATATATATTGTTTTAGTTTTGAAACTAATGCATACATGTTATAATTTTATTGTTGAAATTGATTTTCGAGTAAAGTAGCACTTTAGTAGCCTTACAATCGACTATTAGTTGAGACGATTGATGGCAAATACAAGCCTCAAACATCCCTGTCAGTAACATGTCATCAAGCTGGGAGATCCTAGTGTAAATGAAGTTATAGGCAACAGATTTATAATATGTTCTCGTAATGAAACAACAGTGATAATGGGTATACTATGTTCATAGCTGACTGTCTTTCCAGTCTCGACTTACTGCATTATAGGTTTCTGTAGGTCGGAAGGAATGTACTCTTTTCCCAGTTGTTATACCCAAAATGCCTTTGAATATCTACCCGTGGAGAGATCCGGGTTAGAAATTGATCTTCACAAACCAATGCTTGTCGTGAGAGGCGACTAACGGGATCGGGTGGTCAGGCTCGCTGATTTGGTTGACACATGTGATTGTTTCCCAATTGAGTATATCGATGCTCATGTTGTTGATCTCTGGATTGTCTGGTCCAGTCTGGATTATTTACAGACCGCCGCCATACGGCTGGAATAGTGCTGAGTGCGGCGTAAACATAAGCTCACCCACTCCCCTTTGAATTTCTTCTTGAAATACCTCGTGTCAAACATAGAAACGTCACATAAACTTATCACGCACGACGTAACATTACAACTGTTTTTTCACTGACACGTTCTCATGTTCCTGTCTGCATCATGCCCATACAGACGTTATGGTTCTAATTGTGCGTCTCAGTGTTGTCACTGTCAGGACACTGACGTCTGTGACTGTCAGCCAGGATGGTGGCCAGATCTCTCTTCACAGGGTAGGTACCTAATCCTTAATTATTCATGTAAAATTGAAACGCTTAGTCTTTTTGTTGATGGTTTATCATATCTTTACAGCTTGCAGTGACGGTCACCATGGACACCACTGTCAGTCTGAGTGTGGCCAATGTAAAGGAAACCTGCCTTGTAACAAGATCAATGGAACATGTCAACAAGGATGTCAGCCAGGGTTTCAAGAACCCTTTTGTAAAGGTGCGATATACTTTTAATGTGACGGAAGTTAACGTGTTCTGTCTTATTGCATGATAAACACTGTTCTCCACTGTTCATACATGAAGAGAACGAATGAACCGATGTTTTCATTGTTACATTCAGTATATATATACATCTCCTCCTCTTCATGTATTATTGCTACTTGACAAGGGTACAAGAATATGTATCGAAACGTTGCACTCACGAAATAAAGAAGTTGTTATTCTTTAATTTTTTTCCTATATTGTACGTCTCAACTTCTAAAATGACACTCAAAGAAACATAGCAGCAAGATGAAAATGTATCTCCTCTACTCCCCAGAATGTGTTGATGGTATGTACGGGGATGACTGCATGTCACGATGTGGTCAGTGTAAAGACGCCCTAACCAATGATAAATCCAGCGGGGAATGTCCCGAAGGATGTCAGGGTAACTTCATGAAGCCCCTATGTCAAGGTGAGACACTAAAATCAAAAGAAATAAAATTCTTTCTTTTATTATTTGGATTCCACAACATGCATATGCAAATTGGTTGGTTGGGTTGTTGTTTAAGGCCACAGTTCCAGCTATATGGCGGCGGTCTGTAAATAATATTGCCTGGACCAGACAATCCACTAAAAAACAGCATGCGCATCGATTTATGCATTTGGGATACGATGTGTCGACCAAGTCAGCTAGCCTGACCACCCAATCCCGTTAGTTGCCTCTTACGACAGGCATGAGTACTGTTGCTGAAAAACAATTCTAACCCGGCTTTTCACGGGTATATGCAAATTTGGTGACGAGATAAATATTTTCAAAGGTTTTTTGTACAATTCATTTACTATTCCTTGAGAGTAGCTTTCTGACATATGTCAAGTCAGGTGCACATACATATATAAAGCAATACTGGCCACGTATTTATGTTCTGAACCTGGGTTGGACTGCGAAGGCAGCACTCAACAAATCTGTGACACCACTTCGTATTCCATATACTGATTGTAAAGCCGTTATTAGATCTTATATCCGTGATCTAATGCAAAAGAAGTAGGATACTCAAGAAGGTATTAATGCATTGAATGAAATAAAACCCTATATTGGTTACACCTACTTGGGTTGTCAGTCCGGGTTTGAAAAAGTCATTTTAAGACGATGCCGTATTGACGTAGTATTTGTGTAAGTTTAAATTATAGCTAAATTTTCCTACAATCGCCACCGGCTGAAGGCATGGTGTAAATTTCCAGCTAGGGTTCCTGCAGGTCGCAAAGGAACTGTATGTCCCAATGGTCCCTAGTATGGTGATCTACCTTCAGTTGTCGGCGATCTATAGCCCATTTTTTTACTGTACTGACCTAATTTGAAATCCAATTTTAGAGACAGCTGCTAGTTTTGATTCTTTATACTGTGATATTCTAGTTGTTTTACTGTCATTCCTTGACAGGTTTTATAATTTAATTGCATATATTATGAATTTAAAACTTTTAAGTCACGAAATGGCTGAAATATTGACAATGTGACTATAAATTTACCTCACTCACTCTCTCACTCACTCACTCAAACTGGGTTGTACAGAGTGTCCAGCAACATCAGGATACTCAAACAGTGAAGTGCCAGTTGCAGCAACACTAGATGTACTTCTTATCTTAGCTGTCATCGCTCTGTTGACATCAATCGTTTATATCAGAAGGTAATGTGTGAATGATATAGAGGGTCATGATATTAGACAACAATAAGTGTAAATGATTTTACGTTTCATGCTTATCCTATAACTTCGCTCATTGTTAATTGTCGTGTGGATTCATATGAATCCAAGCTAGTGATCCAGCGGGCATGAGGTGCCGGGATCGAGCCCACCTGTGACCGGGTGTAAAAACCTTGGAGTCAACTTTGTGTGCAGACTCTTTCAGTGTTGTCACAACCCCTAGTGTACCGTACACAACCATGTGCACTTAAAAGAACCCACGAATCCGTTGGTATATGACCAGATTGTGGCCACATGAATATGTGCAGACACCTAGTTGCGGGCACAGCAACCTGCAGTGAACTTGGACAAAGTACTGTGACTATGTGTCCCAGTCCACCCAGCTGTAAATGGGTACCTCGTAAGGATGGGAAAGCCTCAATACCTCGGTGCGCCTTGTGGCAGCCAGAGTTGTATGATCCCCAGGAAGTTGAGATTGATAATAAGATGTGCCGGTGAGATTGACATCCACTGATCGAGGGGAAAAATACCAGCGCCTTGAGCATGCACTAGTGAGCTATATAAATATCCTATAGTAATAAAAAGTCTAAGAATATACATCAATCTGACATGGAGCTTGTTTCAAATTTCAAACTGAACGTCCGTTGATTAGATGTTCATTGATGCATGCTTTTACTTACATTTCGGTGAAGGATTCCAGGGATGTATGACTTGGTTCTAGCACACACAAATGTAGATGTGGAGCACAGCGGTGTAGTGGTTAACATGCTGACCTCTGACGCCAAAGACCCGGGTTCGAATCCCGGTGGAGACACCAAAAGTTGTGACCTGGGTCTCATGCTGTGTTGTGTCCTTGGGCAAGGCACTTCGTCCATATTGCACTCAGTCCACCCAGCTGTTCAAATGGGTACCTGAGAAGCGGATGTACGGACCTATACGGTCGCGCTAGGCGCTTAGTAGCAGCTTTAAAAGTACAATTCCGTCAGGGTAATAATGTAACGCCGCAGAGCAGCATCGTGCTGGATTCTAGGCGCAAAAATTAGCATTATTATTATTATTATTATTAGATTGTTTCGATGGCGATACTTGTAAAACAAGGGATGATTAAAGTTGATTAAAAATGCATAAACCTATTTGACGTTCTCATATTGATATTAAGTACAACAATTGGTATTATTTAAAAAAAATGGAAAGCATGGAGATCAATGTGTTTCTGTAGAATCAATTGTGTGTGGTGCCTATAATAGAGGGGTTAACATGCCATGGGTATCACTATGTCATTCTTGCATATTTCAGGCTGAAGGTTCAACTGGATGCCTAACAAAAGAAACCCGAAGATAACTACATATCTCTAGACGAGCCGACCAAGGATCCAGTTGTGGAGAATACATATGAACACATTGGGAATACCACTCAAAACATTGCAGTGGAAGTTCCCGACGGCCGAATTTGAACGGAACAAAGAAGTTACATGAATTGACGTAGATTAGGCTATTGTTAAGTAACTTGTCTCGTCTTGACGCTATATCACGGCAATAATACCGTTGCAACGTCACTCAGTCACTCACGCACGCACACACTCACACTTACTCACTCACTCTAGGTCACTGATTACTAAACACTTCAACTAAGATTTTTTTCTGTCGTTAATGATAACCTTTCTGAACCATTTGAACAACGCACAGTATTTACATTCTTATCAATTTCAAGCATCTCCTCTCCTATGCAGTCATTCCATCTCACATTATAACGCGGATCGTTCACCTTCCTGCATTAACATACGTCTTGTCATCGGAATGATAGAGCAAAAAACCGTGTCTTATCAGTGAAATTTATTCTTTCCCACTTTCTTGACGCCCATCGCTAGTCCAATCTGTACCTGTGACGACACCGAAATTGATGTTGTGCCATCAAGTTTGGTGGTCTGGCCGGGAGCCTTGCATAAATGCAGCAGATGCGTTGACCTGTCCGAAAGGTATTGTCCCCATACAGCATTGGACAGTAATTCATGATGGTCGGTCCACTCTCACTTAGCCAGAGTCTGACCAAAAAGGTCTTTTTTTTGCACTATGGCAAGATGGGAGATACGAGCCAGGTAATTAGCATTAGCCACTGAAGCATGAGCCTTTGTTCAAGGGCTATAGTCTATATCTACAATGCGACGCGATTTAAGATGTATGTAAGTGTGTGTGCGTTTGTTTGTAATATGAAAATTCTGTTTAAACATATTTATTTCTGATATATTGTTCAGAAACTGCATCGGCAAACAAGCAAACAGCTTATATAAGTGCCTGTCCAGACAAAATAACATTTATGCGACTTGCATTTCATAACATTATAACAAAAGTACATGACATCATAAACAACATTAAGCATACAATATACATGAATAGAAACATCATACAGCAAAAATGCTTTTAGCAAATGTATCATTAGTGAAATTTTATACAGTACAGAATTTATCTGTGCAGTTCAATTCGCGTCTTTGTGAAACCAGAGGCCTAAATGCTTGTGCTCGGAATAATACTTATTTTTGCATGAATAATCTTGGATTAGTTAAAATCATTTCACTAATATCACTAATTGAGCATTTCCTGAAATCCTCCAAAAGATACATATCAATGTTTCTCACTTAAATACAACTGTGACTAATGTCACTAACTACGCATTTCCTCAAATCCTCAAAAACGTTCAAATAATACCATATCAATGTACAAGTATCTCACTTTAATACAAATTTCACTAATCTCACTAAATGGGCATTTTGTTGAAACAAACTATAGTTCATCTTGACCAGGTGTTATCAAAACACTAAACCCAGTCAGCCAAATACCACTCTGGCTATGTGAGAGACCTGTTTTGACAGAATCTGGCTAAGTGAGAGGACACCAAGGCAGGTTGTTGTGGAATGTAACATATTGTGCACTAGTGCGTTGAAAAATTGAGAATTAGCAATCACTGCTGCAGCTCCAGTTGGCTCCAGAGATTGGCTCCCACATCTGCCAATACAAATTTGCAATTTACATTCACCAGTGCCATTAAGATGATACTGAAAACATGTTTGTAGTTGAAAACAATCCTGTATTGTTTAGTGCTCGAATTGATAAATTCACAATAATAGACCCAACCAGTTGTGACGCGGTCACGCAATGCATTAGTATTCAGGTCAAGCTGAACAAGCTGTACCATGGCGCAGCGGGACATGAATACCCCACTCAGATATATTATACTGACTCCGAGCCGTCCAGTCCTTGTTTTACCCATTAATGCGCCAGGCAGGGAACAACAAGTACCATATTTTAACGTCTTTTGGTATGACGCGGCAGGGATCAAACCCGCGACCTTCCGCTCTTCGGACAGACGCTCTAACCACTACACACGGAGGCGGTACTGTAACTGTCACCTTTGGGTGTTAAAATGATATATATGATAACACGACATCACATATCAATATTTAAGCTGATATTTACCATCTGAACCCCAATTTTCACTGCAGTCATATTTGTTGCAATATGTCAGCGTTTATTCGAAAGATTTATTCACAGTCATATTTAAAGCAGAATGTTGTTTTCTTAGTTGTCAGTGGTCAATACGTATCACAACTGTCGTTTTTTTACCGTACTTTGTACTTATAGCACATAAAACCCAACAGAATAGTTCACATTATTTGAGAAAAGAAGCGATATGAGTTAAAACTTGAGGTCGCGGTTGCAGTATTTCAGCCAAATCAGTCAGGTTATAGATTTATGATAATTAAAAGTAAATAGTATATCACTTATATAAATGTAAAACTAGTAATTAACTCTAAAACATTTTATCTATAGTGGACAACACAATATAGAAACAGGCTATAGATTGCCAACAACTGAAGGAAGATCACCATACTAGGGACCATGGGGACTTAATGTGATATTTTATAACCTTTTCCGAAAAGATGTTACACTATTGACGTAAAGCTTTTAATAACAATATACATCATGGTACTTGGTCATTTTGGTTGTAACAGATTATGGTGAAAATTCGGATATATATTCAAATGTGTTCCTCATTTAAATCAGATAATAGTCATTCCAATTACCCAAAAATAATGATTATAAATTTGATTGAATTTAAAAATTGTTTATCTTTCACTTTCCCCTTATTATTCACGTTCACTCATGAAGGTGTTAGTGGGTGCAGCAGTTCCAACTGTGGTGTTACTGGGAAGGGGCGGCGGGGTAGCCAAGTGGGTTAAGCGTTCCCCACATTGGTACAGTTGAGTTGAGTTGAGTTGAGTTGGGTTTTACGTCACATCGGCAATATTCCAGCCATATAGTGACGAGAACAAGTTTGCATTAATAAACATTGTAAGTACATACTCGGAATGAGTTTTATTTCAAAAACATATATTCATTTCATTGTCATTTAACAGCAAAAAAAAGTCACAGCACTAAATTTAAAGGCAGGCAATTTGTTAGTCACATTACAAAGTTACAGTTTATGATACAGATCAACTTCTCTCAGGTAGTCCACACACAATGTGCGAAGACCATTTCTGCTGTCCCCGTCGTGATATTGCTGGATATTGTAAAAAGCGGTCTAAAACCATACTCACGCGTCACTCACTCGTTACAGGAAATATAAGAACACCTGTTTGCACAGAAAAAACTAAATCTGAGTCACATTATGAAAGTATCTATCGTCATTCTTTTACTCAATCACTCACTCTCCTTATAGCAGAAAGTCATATGCAAAGGTAGACTCTCTTTGTGAAAAATGTCGTAATACGACGGCGAACGTAGATGAATGAGCTTATTGCCAGGCAAGTTGACATGCAAGCACTCAAGCAGCACGATGTGTACTTCTTATACATGAATGTGTTATCGGGCCCTGTAATTTAATGCTAACATTGATGCATGCAGGGTTTTACTACATATCACATAACAATTATTCACATATTTGGATGTAATGTGTTCATCTGATACCGAAAATGGTACAGGGTTGTCAGGAATGGTACAAGGTACGGTTCGTGAATAACAAAGACCTAAGATGGGATAAATGTATCACAAAAATACCAGACGTCATGAAAAGTGACAACAATAATTTAAAACTTTTGAACAGCACTAAGGGACTGGTCCTTTATTATAGGGAGGATTGGATGGATGTCACAGAAAAACTGTATTTAGTGAGTGAGTGAGTTAAAATTTAACGTCACATAGCAATATGTCAGCCATGTGGTGACGAGAAAGGTTGTGCAGAAACAATAAATACGAATTGTTAAACAACCAGTCATCGAAGGACTGTAAAATAGCTGGAACATCACAGATGGTGTTAAAACTAGCATGTAAATCTAAAACTATTTTATTTACGAAAACAGTACAATATAACAAAACAGGTTATAGGTCGCCAACAACTAAAGGCAGATTACCAAACTAGGGACCATGGGGGCTGACAGTGCCTTTGCTACCTGCATTGACCCTAATAGGATTTACACCATTCCTTCAGCCGCTGGCGATGGTAGGAAAATTAAGCCATAATTGAAAATAACACTATACGATTAAAAAGCATGGTTGCGCTACATTAACTTTGAACGTTTTGGGGACTTACTTGTATTAGTGCTATTAGTTGTAACCTTCCACACTAGTTTTAAATCTAATTGTGATATTCTGGTAGTTTTACTGTCCTTCGATGACAGGTTTTATAATATACACATATTCCATTTCAATGTAAAATGTTCTCGTCACGATATGGCTGAAATATTGCCGATGTGACGTTAAATATTAACTCACACACTCACTACTTGTATTTAGTTGGTTAGGTTTCTTACAGGTTACACACCAACAAATGTTTTCCCATAGACTTCTATAGTAATCTTATATTTTTTTTAAAATATCCAGGCTATCAACAGCCATTTCATGTACACATGGGTACACTCTGGCCTTTAAACTACCATAACACAAAATATCAGGCCAACTTGTCTGGCTCGTTTTGCGAGCACAGGAAGCGGAAAACATCAACCCCAGTTCCGCCACAAATGTCACCTGCTGGAACATATATGTACACACTATAAGCATGAGTGATGGTAATAAAAATGACAGCTCTAAATACTTAAAATCGTGGTCAGTTTTAATTACTGGATGGATGTACTTTTAAAAAGCATAAACATCTTACACTATTTCATCCAATCACAGCTGTCACAAGTCTCTGTCTCTTCAGTTGTTTACATACGGTTCTCGGTCAGGGAGCATGTGTTTCAGATTTGGTGTAGTGGAACCTAAAGTGGGGAAAGAAAAATGCCATTAAATCTTTGCTAAAGTTGTCAGTGGTCTCATCAGTCTCTTACAGACTCATTATGAAATAATATGACCTTGCGGAGGCAGCGTTTATGACAAAACGTATACTACATCAGACACTTGATAAACTATAACCCAGGAGGAACACAGTATTTTTCTTTTTTCCGTATAACGGGGATCTAATATAACAATGGGATGCTTAATAGAGCAGATCCGAGAAATCCTGTTTATGTGCATAACCTCGTACAAGGTAACCTAAAAACCAGGAAGTAATATCAACATATTACCTGTGGTAGCCTCTCTACAACAGTCGTCTTTGTGCTTCAGTGTCTTGTTCGTATGCAGTAGGACACAGGTGAGTATTATATGGTTCTACATGCGGATTAAACCTTTGCAGTTTTATCATGATTTCCTCTGTATTTGCACTACAGCAATGCAATTATTGCTCAGCTATATCTAGTTGTAAGAATCACGACGTCGGGGTCGCTGTGACATGAAAACATTTTAGGTTGCAATGCACAGCGAACTGTGTTGATACTGAGAGGTATTTGAGGATACACTTTTCGTTACTGTACTGAATGTATGTCTCGAGCTTTCACATGATGAACATGGACTTATCTATAAACATTTGAAAATCATCGCTTCAGTGACTCAGAGTGATAAAGAAACTCTCCTCAGGGGATGATTTCACCTTTGCAATAGTCAACATTCCTTTCATGTTAAGCAACATTCCAACTGCTCCAGCGTTTAGTATTAACATTTCACAACTGCTGAAGTACAATTGAGTATGCGCTTTAAATGGTAAATATGCAAGTGAGTGAGTGAGTTATAAGTTAAAGTCACATCGGCAGTATTTCAGCTATATCGTGATTAACGTGGTCATTGAATGTTAAATGTTTTGGGACCCCTCTCAGGAGGACAATGGTTTTATAGTACTTTAACCCGGATACTGCCGTCAACAATCTGAGTTACTAATTCTAATCTACCAATATAAGAAATGGACATTGATTTATTTGCAAAACATATTTTTTCGAATAATTCTTTTTTTTTTTTTTTTAAAACAGACCGAATTATCAAACGATAATTAACATCATAATTAATTACTAAAAATATCTGTCATAGTTTTTACACTGTAATATTGATCCCTTGTGAAAGAAAAATTAGTGCCGTCAAGCAACACATGCTTGACCGTGATTCTTTCACAAGGTATATTTAATAAATATTCATGTGTATATGATGTGTGGCCAGTACGATATCTGAACCATGTCTGATGACACTTTTAGATATATTTGACCAAATATGGACGTCTGGAAATTTTCCTCCTTCGTGGCGTAATGCCATCGTAATCCCAATTCCAAAACCTGGCAGGGATCATACGGATCCATCGAATTACAGTCCTATATTTCTAACCAGCTGTGTCTGTAAAACCATGGAACGAAAGGTAAACAATAGATTAACTTGGTATCTTGAAACCAATAACCTTATAACAAATATCCAATGTGGTTTCAGGAAAAATCGTATTACCATTGATCATTTGGTACGTTTAGAATCCTATGTTAAAAATGCTATAGTAAATAAACAACATGCTGTATCAATTTTCTTTGATCTTGAGAAAGCTTATGATACGACCTGGAAGCATGCCATTTTGAAGAATTTACATGATTTTGGTTTGAGAGGCCGTTTGCCTCTTTCTATATCACAGTTTTTAAAAGACAGGCAATTTCTAGTCCGAGTGGGTTCTACCCTGTCTGATCATTACAATCAGGATCAGGGTGTCCCTCAAGGCAGTATTTTGTCTGTCACTTTATTTAGTATCAAGATCAACAGTTTATCCAAGGTTTTAAACGATTCAATTAATGGATCACTTTTTGTTGATGCTTTTAATATTTCTTTTCGTGTTAAGAATATGCATACTATTGAACGGCAATTGCAGTTGTGTTTAAATAAAATAAATAAATGGTGTCTTGAGAACGGCTTTAAATTTCCCAAGTCCAAAACTAATTGTCTACATTTTTGTAGTAAATATAAGCCGCATAAAGACCCTGAACTATCTTTAAATGGCACACCGATCAAAGTTGTAAAGGAGGTCAAGTTCTTGGGTCTAATTTTCGACTCCCATTTAACTTTTTTTGCCGCATATTAAATCCCTTAAAGCTAAATGCCTGAAGGCCCTTGATTTGTTGAAAGTTGTTTGCAACTCAAAGTGGGGAAGGGATCATGCTACCCTCCTCCACCTATATCGCTCATTGGTCCGCTCGAAACTCCATTGTATGTCTCCATTGTATATGGTGGAGCCTGCAAAAGCAACCTAAAACTACTTGATTCTGTCCATCACCAAGGCCTAAGACTTTGTCTTGGGTCCTTTAGAACCTCTCCCACTAATAGTCTCTATGGTGAGGCTGATGAGCCATCCCTTAACCAAAGGTCGTATCAAATTATCATTACAGTATATAACAAAACTCTATTCTAACCCTGCATTTAACTGTGTTTTCAATCCTCTTTATGAGGATTTATACAACAAAAGTCTTCTCTTGTTCCGCCTCTTGGGCTGAGAAATAAATCATTCATTTCTGCTGCCGGCATAGAGCTGGAAAATATATCTCCTTCCCGTGTTCATTCTACTCCTCCTTGGCAATTGGTTAGGCCACAAGTCGACCTAACACTCACTAAATTTAAAAAATAAGAAACAAATGACTTACAATATACACAAGAATATTATCAATTAAAAAGTAAATATAATACATATAAATGCTTATTTACAGATGGGTCCAAAGATGGTGGCGCGGTTGCTTGTGCCACTGTCATTGGATCCAGAACAATCTCTTCCCGAATACCAAATAACAGCTCTGTTTTCACAGCAGAAGCTAACGCCATATTAACAGCGCTTAAATATATTAAAAAAACACCCTAATTTTCCGACTCTCTTTCGTATCTTCAGGCTATCAAAAATCTTTCTTGCAAACATCCACTTTTAATAGAAATGATAGAATTATACAATTATACAGCCGTGTTGGAATCTCTGGTAACACTATGGCCGATTTTGCTGCTAAGGCAGCACTCAACAAGTCTGTGACACAACTTCCTATTCCATACTCGGACTACAAAGCTTCCATTAGATCGTACATCCGTGATCTGATGCAAAAGAAATGGGACACTCAAGTGGGTATTAATACATTACATGAAATAAAGCCCTTTATTGGTTACACCTACTTGGGTTGTCAGTCCAGATTTGAAGAGGTCATCATACGACGATGTCGTATTAGCCACACAAGATATACTCATGCATTCCTATTCAAAGGTGAGGATCCTCCGTTTTGTATCCCTTGTGATGAGAGAACCACGGTCAAGCCTGTCCTGCTTGACTGTGTTGAATTCTCCATCATAAGGGATAAATATTTCAATATCAAAACGGTAAAGACCTTTTTAATAAAGTTAATAATCATTTAATCATTGATTTTTTAAAAGTGATAGATTTGTTAAATGAATTTTGATATGTTTTGTAAATAGATAAAGTTTTATAATTGGTAGTTCACATTATCAAAGATTGTTTGTGTCTGTATCCTCAAAGGGGGTTGAAGTAGCGTAAAATTATTGTCCTCCTGAGAGGGTACGTAAGTGCCAAAAACTTTCAAAGTAAAACGTACCAGGTATTTAAACGTAGTATTTTTGTTTTTTAAATTTCGGCTAAATTATCCTACAATCGCCAGCGGCTGAAGGGATGGTGTAAATCCAGCTAGGCTCCATGCAAGTAGCAAAAGTAATGTAAGTTCCCATGGTTCCTTGTATGGTGATCTACCTTCAGCTGTTGGCGATCTATAACCCGTGTTTTATATTGTATTGTCAGCTTTAATTACACTGTTTTAGCTTTACATGCTAGTTTTATGTTTATATCTGTAATACTCTAGTATTTTTACTGTCCATTGTCGACAGGTTTACTCCTCACAATGTTTTCATATTTGTATTGTATAAATTGTTTTCGTCGCGATATGGCTGTGATATTGCCGATGTGACGTTAACTATTAACTCACTCACTCACTCACTCGATCTATCAACGGCATTTCATACAGCTATAATGTTCAAGAGACTGGAACCAGAGTAGAGGAATCATCGGTACTGCTCTCTCGTGAATTACGTTTTTTCTCCCTTAACAGTGCATTACCCTGATTTTCAGTGAATACGTTATTCGATTCTCTAAACTAAGTGAATCCCTTTTCATACTTTAATCAACTCGAGGTGATACGTTATTAAAGGATACTCTGATGCGAATCATCATCTATCCATGGGTGGCCAGGATTCTAACCCCTTAATGTTAATTTGCCTTTTCAGTTCCCTACCCAACATGGGTTGGTCTTGGATGGAGATGTTTGTGGTCTGTGTCACTGTGACCCTAACTGATATGAACTTTATTCACTGCATAGAACATTTGTATAGACTGTCTTTCTAACAGGTATACAAAGAGAATTTTGCTCGCGTGTTTCGCTTGATTCACTTCCTGGTCGCCTTGACATATATTGTTGTACAGACAGGTAGCCGTGAGCTGTTGGTGTAGGAGGTGAGTAGAAATATAGTTGTGCTGTGATCCCTTGTGTGTATGTAAGTGGAAGAACCCCACGTGAACCTCACATATTAGTATCGACGGTAAATCCTATATCATGATGAAATCATGTTACTATCGTATTATCATGTTACTATCGTATTATCATGTTACTATCGTATTATCATGTTACTATCGTATTATCATGTTACTATCGTTAAATATTACTTACCAATGAGCACACATCGTTACCCGTGCTGTCCCATATTGTGTTTTATGAACTAGACTAAATCTAAATCTTAGCCTTTGATAACATTTCTTTGACATTATATGTTGAATAAAAACCTCTTCCGATAAGTGGAGAGAGTGTTTATTACAGCGAACCGATGGACCGATTTGACTAGCGAATGTCTGTAGTTCTATATACACAAGGAATATAAATGTGTTACGGTCGAATGCATAGGTGTTCAGCAAATAGGGGCAGCATGAATTACTGGAAAGCTTTATGCGTCATGAAATGTATTCCTTCTAAATTGGCGCCACACGGACTGAGACATAACACTTAAAAAACACACTTGTGGGTGGACTACGTGTTGAAAGTAAATGTTATGAAATGCAACGTGTTAAATGTTAAGTCATTTCACGAAACAAAGACAGTAAGTAAATAGTCATATTCATGAAAATACAGTCAAACACACCTACAATCAAACACTCCACTTAGCCTGTTCCTTCATCATTTTCTGGTAACTCGAAGTACTTACGTATGTCCCCACAGCTTCGATACACTTGCTGCATGTTGTTAATAAATACTAAGGGGAATACGTTCCTCCTCTATGCAATGCCATATGAATACACCGATATTGTTAGTCAGTACCATTCAACTGTGCTTTGAAAGCGCATTCATATCACCCATAGACATTTATTCATAAACAGGCGAACAACAGCTTTAACTGCATTGCATGCTTTTGACGACGTATGTTCATCATACCCGGATAGGTTATTCACTGGTTTCGACCTTATATATTCTTATACTCTGGTTTAGGTTCGTTCCCGCCGCCGTCACTGTTAGATACATTAAGACATTATGTCTTTAGAATGTCATCACCAAAGCATCTGACCATTGGCGATGGAAGTGGTAGCTTCGTGGTTAAAAGATAAGGTTTTCAATCCGAAGAAATGTGTTCGAGTCGTCACATGGGTTCAGTATGTGAAACTTGTGTCTGGGATCAGTCTCTGTGATAATGCTTGTAAATGTCTTATGCAGCTTTAAACCTTACATGCATATATGAACGTTTCACATATGGACGTCATTATTCAACACTCTGGGTTATAGCTAACATGTTTAAATGGATCAATGTCCTAAACAATATCCGCAGGACATTCGTATTTTGAGTTGTATGTCGGAGTAGTAACGCCTATATAACTACAACGGCTCCGTTAGAATGTTGAGTTTTGTCACTGTTTACTGACATATTGTTGACTTTTTTCCAGAAAGCCTACAATGTTAATGTAATGAGATATATGATAAGAGCAGACTTTCAGACCACAGAATGGCATTATATAACCAAGGGGTGATCACGCCTGAGCGTTTTGGGATGATTGAAATCCTGTATTGGAAAAAACCCAATTACATTTCCTCATCATCCACTCTCAACATAACGTCGATATGTCTACCTGTCTGTGCTTTATGAGAATCTGTGTTTGGGAATCCCGATATTCCAAACCACAAGAACTGTTTACATGTACATACTTTAGTCGACTTAAGCTGCTATTGTTTTAGAGTGAGTGAGTCAGTCAGTTATAGATTTATTGTTACATCGGTAATATTTCAGCCTATTGTTTTAAAGGACACCCTGGTGCAAATCATTATCATCATGAATGGTCAAGACTGTTAACGCATTATGTTACTTTGTCTTTTCAGTTAGGTACCCAACATGGGTTGGTCTTGGATGGGACTGTTGGTGGTCTGTGTCACTGTGACCCTCACTGGTAGGAACTTCATTCACTTAAATACTTATTAATATCTGCTACATAGTTTCTCTGAAGCGATTAATAAAAATCATGGAAACCAATTATACCTGTAATATATGATTTAAAATAACTTATAATTAAATATAAATTCCAGTATAAAAGAGTAATGATCAGTGTTATTATCCAATAGTAGGTAATCTTTAAACAGATGCAGAATGTCACTGTGCCAGTGCAGCTGCCTGTGCCGTGTTCCCCTCTACTCCCTGTAGCCAGGTCGGTGATCCAGACAGATGTCAGGAAGGATGGTTCGGTTCCTACTGCCGGAAACGTGAGTATGAGATAATGATTATCAATAATAGCAGGACCATATGTCACAAATATTTGTCTTCAACAACCTTTGCTTGTCGTAAGAGGTGACTTACGGGATCGGGTGGTCAGGCTCGCTGATTTGGTTGACACATGTCATCGTATTCCTATTTGCGTAGATTGATGCGTATGATGTTGATAACTGGATTATCTGCTCCATACTCGATTATTTACAGACCATCGCCATATAGCTGGAATATTGCTGAGTGCGCCGTTAAACAACAGCCGAACCAAACCTAACACATTTGTTTCCTTCATTCGTTAATCTTTATTTTTTGGGTCACATTTTCAGAAAACATTGCTTTGCGGAGATCTTGTAGCCAGAGCAGTACGTTTGGTGGTGGTGGATTTGGAGCAGATCGGGGTGTAGATGGCACCGCCGCAACGACTGCCACGCCATCAACATGTACTCATACACAGAATGAGACAAATCCCACCTGGACTGTGAACCTGAACACTTCAGTTCCAGAGAAGATACAACATATCAGACTCTATCTACGTGAGACCTGTGAGTTCACAAATATAAATCAAGTACAGGTGGTAATATCAGACGCTGCAAGGAATTGATCGCGATTATTCATATCGTTTTGGTTTGAAACGGCATTGAATGTGCTGTTATCACAAGTGTTCTGGTCAAATGCAAATCACACTGGGATATCCCGGGAATTGACAAACCCTCCCGATGATTGACCTGATTTAACTGCAGAGTGATCGAGTAAGTTACGATTTTAAGTTACATATCGTGACTAAAACAAGTTATAGATTAATAATGATTAAAAATATATTATTAACACCTGTCAACGAAGGACAGTAAAACTACTAGATTATCAAAGACTTATATTTAAAACTAGTGATTAAGTCTCAAACAGTTTAACTATAGAGGACGATACAATATAAAACAGGCTATAGATCGCCAACAACTGAAGGTAGATCAACAGACTATGGACAACTGGGACTTACATTACCTTTGCTACCTGCATGGAGCCTAGTTGGATTTACACCATCTCTTCAGCCGCTGGCGATTGTAGGAAAAGTTTTGCCGAATTTGAACCCACCCCCACCCCACCCCCCAAATATACTACGTTTAAAAATCTAGTAAGCTTAAATACATACATACAGCCACTAAAAATCGCAGTTGCTAAGTTATACTATCATATTTAAAATGTCATTTATCAATAAATTATACAAATCATATTATTCAATTTTTATCTAATAATTATATTTCCCTTAAAAATTCGATTATTGAATGATAATTAACATTATAAATAAGATCTTTAACTATTTCCACATTGAAATATTAATTAGGAGATAAACGTACTGTGTTTTGAAATTAGATGAATGTTAGACCGAATTGATAGTCTCTAAATTTCATTTGAAGCCGAACGCGTAGCAATCTAGCCGTGCCTAAAAAAAACACATATTCTACGATTAAAAAGGGGTAAGCTTAAATTTACTTTAAATGTTTTGGGACTTACGTCATTTCAGTCCCATCCGGAGTGTCTGAGGGTAAGTGTTCAAATACAGGATAGGACTCAAACTAACAAAGTACCAGAATCTGTACTTCATTGAGAAAGTGTAACCCCAAATATACATACGTTATACTTGACCACTTTCTGAATGAGTGAGTGAGTGAGTGAGTGAGTTCGGTTTTACGTCTTTTAGCAATAGTCCAGCAATATCACGGAGGGGGACACCAGAAATGGGCTTCACACATTGTACCCATGTCGGGAATCGAACCCAGGTCTTCGGCGCGCTGAACGAATGCTTTAACTACTATGCTACCCCCATCGCCACACTTTCTGAATGACATTGTGTAATCATACTGTGAGATTTAACATATTCTACATTTCCTTAGATTGACATTCCAATCGTGAAACAATGACAATGTATACCTTTTGGACACCAAAATAATCCTGATGGATAATATCAATTCTTTTAATGTATATCATTCTACTACATGTCCAGCTGTTTTCCATGTATCAAACCTTTACTCTGTCCCACCATCAATCCGAAGGTATCTATGGATTCTAAAGGATTTAAGAACTTTGAGGTTTAAACTGGATTTGAGACTTTTAATGACTCTTACTTATACTATTGATATGACGCCCCATAGTTTTAAGGTTTTACCTTCTCGTGCCGATATACATAATATCACAGGACTTTGGTGTGAAATTCTCTTTCTCCATATTGTTTTCCCATCTGTTCAGTTAAAGAGATAAATAAAGGCATGGGACTTGAAACTGGAAGCTTCGGGATTTTACATTCTTACCGACTGGTGTTAACATAGATGTGACCGGTCAGCTGGATAGCTATCTCTATCGTATGTCTCTTCCTTCTGTACAGTTCAGGAGAGAAACATCGGCATGGAGATACTTGTGGACAGCCAGATGTGCTACAACTGGTTATCAACTAAACATCCTCCTCCTATAGCTAACGTCACCTGCCGCCAGCCATTGACAGGAACCACGGTCACTATACGGATACCTGGTGACAGTAAAGCCCTCACTTTGTGTGAAGTGCAGATATTTGGTATGTCATGGACTATGTGGATTCACATATTTGCATAACTGCAGTGATTCACTAAACGTGTTGCACCTGTGTATTGGGAGCCTAAATGTTATCCTCTAATTCAGTTGAATGAAATCTTTCCAGGTTTCGCAATCATTATGGGTTACTTGTGGTACTTTCCGCACACACATGGTGAGGACAAAATATAACCTTTTTGTTGCATCACCATATCAATATGATGCACTCAAAAAACTATACAGGAAAAGTGATAACTTCATCCTTCTGAAATAGTATTCACTTCGAAATGAGGTGAGGTGAGGTGAAATTGGGTTTAACGTCGTACTTGAGAATATTTCGCTCATATGACGATGTGCATGCGTGTGTATGTGTATGTGCAGCTGCTTGTACTAGCCCAGACTTAAGCTGGTTTTATAGTGCTAGCCCACTGAGATACCATGTCGCAGTGAAGCATGAATACCCTACTCAGACACATTATACTGACTCCGAGCCGACCAGTCCTTGATGTACCCATTATTGCTGAGTGCCAGGCAGGGACCAACAAGTACCATATTTTAACGTCTTTTGGTATGACGCGGTCGGGGATCGAAACCGCGACTTTCCGCTCTCCGGGCGGACGCTCTATCCACTACACCACGGAGGCGGTTACTTCGTAATGAGTTTATCTTTATTGAATTTATCGATTCTTCGATCATTCAACGAAATACGTATCTATCCATCCGCTGTCAGTACTGTAGTGATATAATGGCACACCCCGGAGTCCGTTTGTTTTAAAAATACATTGTTCCATATATGTACAAAGACAGGTTAGTGGATACCATTTAAAATTTTATTCATCATCACATGTTTTACACTTGAAAATAACATGATGTAACATGATATTCGCCTTCAATAATGTGTTTCCTTGCAAATAGTACTGGTTCTGTCTTCTCTCCTTTCTTTAGTAAACTTCCTGATTCAGTTCTTAGGTTATGGCAAGTAAGTCTAACCTGTCCCACAGCATTTGATTGCAGTTGTAAATTCTACACTTAATATGCTTGTGCGGGACATCATATGTACAGCGTCAATTTATTTGCACAACTCATAACAATTTACACCTCATATCTCTGCCTCATAAATCAGACCTAGGCTTATCTTTTTTGTCAAATATTGACAGGTATGAAATGGTAATGGTTTAAGTGGTGACGAGCATTTCAAAACACCATTTACTACTCTTTTAGCCTGGATACAGACCTCGTTTACATGTTTTGCATATGATAATGGTTCTTGGTCTAGATAATGGTTCAGTTAGTATTCATATGAAGATACCCAAGTAAGTAGTTGTCCGTCATACTTTCTTTTGATAGAGCTCTCTATTCTTCAAAACAATGGTCTTGGTGTTTTTTCAAATTATACAAATTCACACATCAATGGAAATGATAACAAAAGTGGTTTTCATGTTTTTGTAGTACAGAATTGTGTCAGGAACCGCTATTGGTAAGACAACTGGCGCTATGTGCTGGCGATTTGGTGGGTCATAAAGAGAGTGTGGTTTCGAATCCTGGACCATCAACAATACTGGAAGATGCACTCTGCTGATAAAGTGTAATCCCATATATCCACAGAGAAATCAATTAAGCACCCTCTGTATTTTTGCGTATATTTACGTTTAGAACACGTGCATAAAAGTTCTCGTGGTGACCACCCGTATGATCCTTTGACTCCAAAATGATTGAAATCCATGTTGATTTTATGATGATAATTGCTCATTTTTAAAAAAACCCACCACACTGATGTTTATACAAAACCATGTCTGTACAAGAATGTTTAATGTTGAATTTATTGGTGAATGTGAACATTCAATATGTCATTTTGCGTGTCAATTCAAGGTCAATATAAGTTGTTCACTGGTCACGAGGGGGTTATGGGTTGATGTACCCTCGATGTTTGTTTATGTTCCCAACCCATGGGCCCCGAGAGACTAGTGAACAACGTATTTATGTTACCGAACACCTTAATGTTAATTTTGAATTGTTTGAAGCACGGGTACAAATCTTTTTGTAGCCATCGCTAGATTTTGCTGACAAGAAAAACAGATTTAGAGTTATCTCCCTTCAATCGATTTGCATTCGCCAAAATCGGTAATGTCCGTACATGATTACGTGATTCAATGTTATTCGAGATAAAGAATTACTACCACGAAGTACAGAATAAGTTGCCATTGACAGCGGGGTACATTGAAATGTTACTCGCTTGTAAGCGGGGTACACTGAAAATAATAGAAGAGCGTTCAGCCAATCAGAAAGCGACATTTTTATGTGTGAGGTAAGATAATACAGAATGTAACCTCCATGTGACATTATGCCAGTCAGCACTTTCCTCCTCATACCCCCTGTCAGCCTCCTAATCCTCTGAAGGGGCAGTCTGCGCCATTCCTCGTGTAAAACAGCTTCCATTTGGGCCAGGTTATGTACGGGAGGATACCTTTGTATCAATCATGCTCAAAAAGGGTTACGATCGAGGCTCATTCAGTCGGGAGATATGTCAGGTGGTGATTAAGGTCTTTGTGTATATAACAAATGTTATATCAAAATGCAGTTGATATTTATCAAGAAGATATCCCGAAAGACACATTTCTACATTATTAACATGATGACTGTATTTGAATATGGTAAACAAAACAATAATCAGTTTGCAGTGACGGATGGTTTTCTGAAGATTGTGACAAACAGTGCCGATGCCTTAACAGTAATGATGTATGTGACAAGATCACTGGGCGCTGTTCTAGTGGATGTTTCCCAGGATACCATGGTGTCGACTGCCAAACAGGTATGACGTGAAAATAGTTAGCATTAAAGTGAAAATTTATAAACAGCTTACATGCGTTTTATGCGGATGTTTCCATCTCTGTATGCGTTTCTGAATTAAGCAACTTAAGGTTCATGTTCAAACACACGTGTCTCACGGCCACAATGGCACAATACAAAACTAAACACTGACGATAAATGTATTGTTATCTTATGGGGTGGTGGAGGAACTTGCCACTTAAAGGGTTGAAAGAACCTTATTTTTTGTAAATTCTTAGTACCACCATGTTATTTACATGTGTTTGAGTCTTATGGTACAGCAGGACTAATTATGTCAATGGCCTCCCTGATGAAGCTAAATATCATGATCTTCAACAATTACTGACTGACTGAGTTTAGTTTTCGCCGCTTTTAGCAATATTCCAGAAATATCACGGCGGGGGACACCAGAAATGGGCTTAACGCATTGTGCCCATGTGGGGAATCGAACCCGGGTCTTCAGCGTGACGAGCCAACGCTTTAACCACTAGGCTACCCCACCGCCCCTCTTCAACAATTATATATGTCAGAATCTTTATCATGTTTGCAGAATGTGCCGCTGCACTGAAGATTGTTTTCTTGTTATATGTATTTGCAGTATGTCCAGATGGTTTCTTTGGTATCAACTGTGCCTCAATGTGTGGAAACTGTCTGGATGGTGTAATCTGTGAAAAGACAAGCGGGGCCTGTCCTGGAGGATGTGCAGCAGGATGGATAAATGACGACACAAAGTCATGTCGGCAGCGTGAGTTGGTACATTGATTTGTTTGTCTTCACATATTATGATCAATAATGTATACACAGTCTAAGTTACTTTGTCTGTGCAGCATGTCCCGATGGTTCCTATGGTATCAACTGTGCCTCCCAGTGCGGAAACTGCCTCAATGGTGTTAGCTGTGACAAAACAACAGGAACCTGTCCTGGAGGATGTGCAGCAGGGTGGATTGATGACAACAAACAGTTATGTGTGCAGCGTGAGGAACTGATTTCGTCCTGTGTCAGATTTGGTACATTGATATGTTTGTCTTCAGAGCACATGCTCAATAATGTAAAGACATTCTTTGCTTCGTCATATTATATTCAGCACGTTTTTTTGTATAATAGAAACATTTATCAGATAATGTAGATATTCTGTCAAACATTCATAATCGGTTGCTTTTTAAACACCCGTTTACTCTGTAAAATCTTGGTTCCAATGGTACGTCTGTATGATCACAAACCTACGCTTACCTTACATAATACGGTGAAGCCACGTGCACTTGTATTTACAGCATGTCCAGATGGTTCCTATGGTGTAAGCTGCATCCGTCGGAGTACCAATACTTCCTTTTGTATTATAAAAACACTTATCTAATACTGTACACTTTCAAACTTTCTTATCCGGTTACCCTTTTCAACACCCTTTTATGGTGTGAAATCTTGTTTCTGAGGTATCTGTGTATGGGTTCAAGTTGAAGCGTGTTGGAATTTGTAGCATGTGACTGTAAATTGTACTCACTCACTTTTTTCGACACCCTTTTACTTTGTGAAATTTTGTTTCCAAGGCAATTCTGTATGATTTTAAGTGAACGCTTACCTTGAACAATAGTCACTGTTAGTTATGTGTATTTACAGCATGTCCAGATGGTTTCTATGGTACCAACTGTGCCTCTCAGTGCGGGAACTGCTTTCGTAGTGTCAGCTGTGACAAGAAAAACGGAACCTGTCCTACAGGATGTGCAGCAGGATGGGTCAATGACGGCACATGCCTACAACGTAAGTACTGATGACGTCCATTGTGTTGCGTACAAAGATATCATGACCTGAAATGTTAATGAACCAGAATTCGTATTCACAACTGTTCTGGTTAGTGCTTCAAGATATGTAAGTCACAATATCCACTGTTCAATGACACATTACTTTCTGCAGTGTCAGTAACATATGGATTTGCATTCCCTTTGTGTGTCCAGACTGACCGAATTTCCTTTGCTAAGGTCATGATACACCTTGTCACATATGTCATTTCATTGTAAGAAGTTTTATTGCATTAAAGTATTAGGCACTCATAAAGGGCGCTGCGTTTAACTGTGATGGCATGCAATTAATGAGACTGTTGTTAATTGTGTCAAATATAAAAACATCTTTCTTGGACGTCTATGTAAAATCTCCTGTAATAATTTTCCGAAAAAACACATATTTTGTGCAGCACTAACCACATCTACAAAAACCCTTCAATCTGTGATGATCTACTATCAATACTCTATAAATATACTTTACATGTACACATAGAAAAATGCATTGGTTGAGGTTGTATTGACTCCTGAGTACGAACGGCGAAGAATTGTAAATACATCTGTACATAGCTATGAAGAACACATAGGTTATGCAAACCTCTATTAATACAAACATGACGCTTTACGCATAGGTTCGTTGCAATTTAAACTATCATATTCTCTGGCAGTTGGCATACTTACATCTCAATTATAAGTCTGCTCTCAAAATATTTAAAAAAAATATTAATTAGTGGTAAAATATCAAAGGAATGTGAACAAAATATACTTTTTCTTAATATGATTTCATATACTCCTACACTTTGAACAACTTAATAGAGGTGCAACTGGTTTCAAGAACAATGTTGATCAAGGGACACGGGAAACAATTATTAACACTTTCTTTATACAATTGCCGAATGAGATGGCACCTACAATGTTACACTGACTGATTATTGGTGATGCCCCCTCTCTCTGTCTCTCTCTCTCCCTCCCTATATCGGGTAAACAGGAAGGTGTCAAGATGTACCTGTGCTATTCTACACATTTCATGGCCAAACATGATAACAATCTCATTATACCATACCACCGCTTTTATTAAACAGAAATACATTCCAGACAACTAACAAATATTAAATCGAAATATTACGATCTCCTATTGAATCATTACTGAAAAGATGTGATATAATATTGCAAAATTGTTTCACAATTAAGTATCCACGATATAATGGATTCAAGCCATGATGACTTGGACACCAAACATACAGATGTCATAATGTACCGATCATGTTACTTCACACATAGCGTGGCATAGGAAAGTCAAATGGAAATAATTGTTGGATTTGGAGTTTGGATTATGCCTACATATGTTACGACTTTTGATGACCAACCTTTCAGTTTCTTTGCTTTGCATAAAGTAGGAAGGAGATATATTTGACATTCCTGTAACACATATAGGTTTCCAGGATACCTGTTGCAAACAAAATCTGCACATGCGAATATGTCTTCAGGGATAACATGAGCAAGGAAAATTGCAAGATATTGTTAATGTAGAGCATTGTTTTTGTTTGTCGCGAAAACGTTTGGCAGTACAAACCATCCAACGGGTGTCGTTTTGCATGCTACAAGCATATGGCAGCAATACTCCTGTAATCATGTAATCATTTCAGGCAACAACCACATATATTACCATGCAAAATGTGTGAGTGATACCGGTACGGCGTGAGAAGCTTATTCTTTTGCTCCTATAGTTTGTGTTATGACGTATTGTCAGTGCATTGCTAATATGTTTTCACCACAATTTGTCCTTTATGCATCAGTCATCGGCTGGTCAAAGAAAGTTAATCTCTGATGGATGACGTTTTATCTTCTATTGGCATCGTTATTTCTTGTAGATCATTCTCACATTTGTCTGATTCAGTTATCACCACTGAGGAGGGATTCAACTGGGGAGTGCCAGCAGTAGTGGTTCTTTCTCTGTTGCTGATGTTGATAGTGATTGGAGGAACCATATACATTAGAAGGTAATATACTTTGCATCCTTCGTTAACTAGAACCGCACGCTTTCATACATTAACTGACAGCGCTTTATTTACTAATCTGTCATAGATTCTGTCACACACTGCTCCTTCATAGTGTGTAATATAATTGTGCATAAAACAATTGGCTTCTTATTTTGATTAAATCGTCAGCGCTTTTACTTTGTAGTGAATAACTGGTATCGAGTTGGCACTTCTATCTATTTGTACAGGATATTGCTCCTATACCAGAGTACTGTCGTTTTTTTGTCTTAATATTCTGATACAAATGTTATTTAATAATGCGAGAAAATCAGAGTGAACATTCGAATTGTCCATTACACGTGATCTTTGTAGTGAGTGAGTGAGTTAAAACTTAACGTCACATCGGCAATACCACATAGTGACGAGAAAGGTTGTTCATACACAATAAATACGAGTAGTTAAATAACCAGTCATCAACGGACTGTAAATTAACTAGAGTTTCACAAGAAGAGTTAAAACTAGCTAGCATATATCTTTAAAGGTAGAAAATTATTTTGGGCAATACAATGCTAAAATGGGCTACTGATCGCCAACAACTGATGGTAGCTCACCATATTAGGGACAATGGGGACTTGCAGTGCCTTTGCTACCTGCATGGACCCTAGTTAGATTTACACCATCCCTTCAGCTGCCAGTGATTTGAGACAAACTTTGTCACAAATTAAAGTGACGGACCTTTCTAGTGGTCAGATACTCTTTGCATAGTTGACCTCTACAACCTCTTACACATTTGTTTCCCCACTCTCTCATAATTATAGGTATGGGACATTATCTGTATTTCACGATAAGTGTCTGTATATTTTACGAAATAGGCATATTTTGTTCGTCAGATTGCTGAGAACTGAAGAGTTTGAAGAACAAGACGTCAGAGGAACACTATGTGGAACTCGATGAAATGACAAAGGTTCCTGCAAGAGAAGGTACATACGAACATATCGGTAATGCAACTACCTACAACACTACATTCGATCGTGTTCAGGATGAAACTGGATGAGACGACAAAGATTCTTGATACAGAAACATACATGCGAACATTTTGACACTGCATAGTATCATTTTCATAGATCATGTTGAGGGTGAACTTAACTCACTGAGATGCCACAATCGAGATACAATCTGTCTGCCTTAGGTAGGTGGGATGTGGCGATATTTAGAAACAACTGTCTAAGTGTGATTCTTTTCCCATGAAGATCTGTGTAATATTATTCAGAATCTGACAAGCGTGTGACTCAAAGTGAATATCATGTCTACAATATAAGAACACCAGTGATATGGATGAACACAACAGATTTTATCTCACACATACTAGCTGCAACATTGAACTTCTCAAACCTAGTCGCCGTTTCAGACACGAAATCCACATATCCGCCATATAATAATAATGGTGATACTCTTCTGCGGCCATGAGTTTGCTTCGCTTAAAACCTAACATATCGGTTTGCTCCCTATTATTCCCTTTCCTTCCTTTCCTTGAAAGACATGGTACTGACTCCCCCATCAGCCCATTGCAGCATGCAGAGCTTTGTGTAGTCGCAGTAGCAAATGACTATATTTCTGTCAATTCATTGTCATAAGTTTTGTTGCTTGACATGTATTGTTCAGAATTACCCCCTAATAGTTTTTAAGTCAAATGTCATATTAAATAAATGAGTTCAATAAAACAATTTGTGCAGTCTTTTACAATTGTTCGTCATTTCTGGTCTATCCACTATCAATATCAGAGTAAGCCTGCATGTAATCGCTACATACGCTAGTCAATCCCAACCTGTCCACTATCGATGCTAAAGTGAGCCTGCATGTACTCGTTACATACCTTTGACAATCCCAACCTGTCCACTATCGATACTAAACTAAGCCTGCATGTAATCGTTACATACTTTAGTCAATCCCAACCTGTCAACTATCGATACTAAAGTAAGCCTGCATGTAATTGTTACATACATTAGTCAGTCCAAACCTGTTCACTATCGATACTAAAGTAAGCATGCATGTAATCTTTACATCATTTAGTCAATTCTAGACTGTCCACTATTGATACGAGATTAAGCTTGAATGTAATCTTTTCATAATACTTGGTCTTCCCACTCTTGATACCGGAGTAAGTCTGTATGTAAGTTTTACGTGATATAGTAAATCTCAGTCTATCCACTACTGATACCGGAGTAAGTGTGTATGCAATTTTTACGTGATATAGTAAATCTCAGTCTATCCACTATTGAAACTGGAGTAAGTCTTGCATGTAATCTTTACCTACTTTAGTCAATCATAGTCTATCCATCACTGACATGAAAGTATATTGTTGCAAAATCAATGCAGCCAAGCCGGACGTGATTCTTTCATTACAAGGGATGCAATATAGAGGATCCTCACCTTTAAGCAAATACTCATGTGTATATCTTGAAAGGTCAATACCACAACGTCGAATGATGACCTCCTCAAATCTGCACTGACAACCCAGGTAAGTATAGCCAATGTAGGGTTTTATGTCATGTAATGTATTAATACCATCGGGCGTCCCGCTTCTTCTGCATCAGATCACGGATGTCAGATCTAATAACAGCGTTGTAATCGGAGTATGGAATATGAAGTGGTGTCACAGATATGATGAGTGCTGCCCCAGCAGAATGATTGGCCACTGTGTTACAAGAAACGCCAACGTGGCTTGGTAACGAAATAAAAACGATGACGTTTAGGCCAATAGCGAGATCATTATATAATCCAAGCCTGATAACATTTTCAATGCTCACGAAACTGGCCTCTTCTACAAAATGAAACCAAACAGAACTCTTCACTTTAAATCTGAAAAATGCAGTGGGGGTAAAAATTCTAAAGCGAGAATAACATTGTTGGTAGAGGCAAACATGACTGGGAGTGAAAAACTTAAGTTGTTAGTCGTAAGGAAGTCAGAAAAGCCTAGATGCTTAAAAAAATGTACGCAGTTTGCCAGTAACGTACATATCAAATGCCAAGGCCAGGATGACTGGTGAATGATTCACAGAGTGGATCACAAACCTGGATAAGAGTATGACAAGACAAAAACGTAAGATCCTGATGTTTGCAGACAATGTCCTGCCCATCCTGTTGTGAAACACCTCACACACGTCAAACTGGTCTTCCTTCCACCGAACACTACGTGTAAGATTCAACCCATGGACCAGGGTATCATCGCAAACTTGAAACAACTGTACATGGGCCAGGTAATGAGGGAAATGCTGACTGCCTTTGATCAAAAGAAAGAACATCAGATCACTCTCCTTGATGCAATCCAGATGATTCATGCCGCTTGGAGACAGGCCACATCTAAGACGATCGCCAACTGCTACCGGAAGGGAGGCTTTGTCCTTCCTGAGCGAGATGAAGATTCATCAGACGATGAGACAGACAACATGGTTCTTTCCGACCTCAGAGTTATGTGGAATGAACCGTCAGATAAAGCAGAAGAAATCCCGGCAGATATCACGTTGGACGACTTCATCAACGGTGACAATGAAGTTGTAGCCGAACGCCCTACTGAAGACGAGATTGTGACGTCAGTAGCCCAGCAGTTTGCCACGCCCACTGTCACATCCGCTCCCGACTCTGACAGTGAAGATGATGAACCTCGCCCGAAGCCATCCTTTGCTGAGGCCAATGCAGCATTAGAGACACTACGTCATCTACTTGGTTGGGAAGGTTCAGATAGTTCTACCTTCGACTCTCTTGCAGATGTCTGTGATGCAGTTGACAAAATGAAGTTGGAAAGACGTGGTGTGCAGAGCAAAATTGTGGACTTTGTTAAATGCAGTTACGTTATATATTGTTGAGATTGTTGTGATTGTTAAACATGTTGTAGCTAATGTCTGTGAATGATAAATTCAGAATTTTAATGTTATGTCAATGTACAAGAATAAAGATGTGTAGCCTCAGCATATACATGTCTCTACATCTCTACAATCCAAAGATGGCGGTCAAATGTGAATAACGAACAACGGATATAGCGAACTAAATTTCTTGGTTCCTTGGAGTTCGTTATATCCATGTTCTGCTGTATTTCGATTAAAGTGGATGTTTGTAAAGAGAGATTTTCATAGCCGAAAGGCACGAAAGAGCGCTGTTAACCTGGTAATGTAGATGACATCTTTCTGGATCGAATGACAGTGGCACAAGCAGCCGTGCCACCATCCTTGGACTAATTTGTAAATAAGGATTTGTATGTATCTTAGTTACTTTTTTAATTGATTATATTCATGTTTATATTGTAATTCATTAGTTTCTGACTTCTTTAATATGGTCAAGGTAAGGTCGACTTGGGGCCTTACTAATTGAAATGGAGGAGAAGAAATAGGACGGGAAGGAGATATATTTTCCAGCTCAATGCCAGCATCAGAAATGCATGGTTTAATTCTTATCCCACGAGGTGGATCAAGGGATGCCTTTGTATTATACAATCCTCATAAAGAGGATTAAATACACATTTGTACGCAGGGTTGGGTTCATTAGAATATAGCCTTGTAATATGCTGTAAAGATAATTTAACACGGTGATGTTTTATAGATGGCTTATCGGCCTCGACGTAGATACTGTCAATGGGAGACTAGGTTGTGAAAGATCCAAGACAGAGTCTTAGACCTTGGTGGTGGGCAGTATTTAGAAGTTTAAGGTTGCTTTTGCAGGCTCCACCTTTGATGATAGAGCCATAATCGAGTTTTGAACGGATCAGTGCTCGGTACAGATGGAGGAGGGTCTTTTGGTCGCCTCTCAACATATCCAGCGCCTTATTTTTCAAATATTTTATAATGATCGAAAATCATACCCAGGAACTTGATCTCTTCTGCAGTTTTAATAGGTGTACCATCTAAAATTAATTCAGGGCCCTTTTGGGGTTAATACATTCGACAAAAGTGGATACTATTTGTTAGTGATTTAGAACATTTAATCCGTTTCTAAACACCACATATTTACTTATTTTATTTATAATTGCCTTTCAATGGCATGCATACTTTCGCCACGACAGGAAATATTTAAGTCATCCAAAAATAATGATCCCTCAACTGAATCGCTTCAAACCTTTGATAAACTATTTATCTCTATACTAATTAGTGTGACAGACAAAATAATGCCTTGTGGGACACCCTGATCCTATAATGATCAGACAGGGTAGAACCAACGCGGACTTGAAATTGCCTGTCAGTTCAAATCTTGTATATAAATTGAGGCAAACGGTATTTTACAACTACCTGAAATGCGCAAAACAACAAATGCACAAAGCATTCAGAGCTCGATCACGTATTCCTTATGCGGTTTATTCAGTTCACATCCTGGTAGCCTGTATAGCTGTACAGACAGGCAACTGTGAGCTGTTGATGTGAGAGGTGAGTAGAGACACAGTCTCCTTCATTTTTCTCTTATCCCTTGTGTTATGTGAATGAGAGATGAGGTCCTAATTTGATTAACACACGTTTATTGGCCTCGGATGCTGTGTGTGATAATATCCTGCTATTATCGGTAATAGTTCCGCCCGCAATCCCCGTTTGAAATGGCTTAAAGGTTAGGAGGTAAAAATAAAATTTACTGGCTAAGCAATCTTGACAATAAAGAAACTAATGAAATAAACAACACAACCCCCCCAAAAAACAACAACAAACAAACAAAAAAACAAAACAAAAATACAAACAAACAAAAAGAAACGGTGGTTACGGGCGGAAATCATTCCCTATTATCAAATAAGGTATAATACGATGATCAGCACACATCGTTACCTGTGGTTTACAAAGTTTCTACACTGACCGAAGCTAATCCAGATATACATTTCTTCAAAACAACTGCGATTCACATGTTTAAAACCCCCCGTTCCTCCTCTGCTGTTTTTTATGTGTAGAATCAAGGAGATTCGCTTTAGTTTGATCCAGAGCTACGAAGACGTTAAGAAAATTGTTAAACATACCTATTTGCACACAAATTACAACTTCGTGGACCATGTACCACCATACACCATCGTAAATCCATTATAAACATTTCACGTTCACACTTCAATAACACTGCACCTTGTTCAGACATCTCTGCACAGCGTTCACAGTACTTTCAGTACAGGTAACCATCTAACTACATTTTACGATGCACACTTTCCTGAACCAGCGTGAACATACAGCTTGAATCTGCAGTGGTATGGTGTAATAATCTGTCAGTTTACGTATTCTTAAGACATTCCCTATCGGTTTGAATGAAAACCTTTTCCCATCCTCTTGGTCAGTGCGAACGCAAACCGTCGATTGTGCAACATGTATCACAACTGTATCTGTTCAGAGAGAGTGTCCTTTCATAACAACGAACCTCCATGGCGGGTCGAATTGGGTAGTCACTATCTGTGGTCCTATACACAAAGAACACAATGGTTTTACAGCCGAGAGCATAGGTGTTTGAGTGAATATAGGCATATAGGAATCAGTGGAACAGTGTATGGATCAGGAAACTTCCAACATGCCAATTGCGTTTCAAGCAATTTAGGACAACTTTCAGGCTGGATTGTATCACTGAAATGTAAAGCTCACTGATACGTTATACTGTGCAAATTTAACCCAAACATTTTTTCGTGCACATCATGAAAAACATATTTGCACAAAATCCATTACGCGTTGTGAACGGCATGATCATTTGTAAATGATACCCATGATTATCCGGGTTAGAAGTCGTCCTTAGCAACCCATGCTTGTCGTGAGGCGACTGACGGGATCGGATGGTCAGGTTTGTCATTGTATCCCAACTGCGTAGATCGACGTTAATGCTGCTGATAACTGGATTGTCTCGTCCAGTCTCGCCGCCATGTACCTGGAATATTGCTGAATGCGTTGTTACACAACCACCCAACCAACCAACCAACGAACTAACTAACCAACCAACCAGCCAACCAACCAACCAATCACATAACTTATCTAAAAAATAATATCAACCCAAACTGCAATTTACCCTACCTTTTAAGTATTAAAAGTAAAGTTCCCTGTTCGATACAACGGTGTTTGTCTGTATGCTATTTATAATTGCTAAAGGAAATATATTTCTCTTCTGTGCAAGTATATATAAATACACGGCTATAGGCCGACAGTAAATTCAACTGTGTTTTGAAAGGGCATTGATATCAGCCGCGGACACGTTTCTTCATGGACAGGTAAACATCAGGGTTTACAGCATTGTATGCTTTTGACTGAAGGGAACGTGGGGTCATAGATAACAGGACTTTTTATTCATTGGGGTTGACCTGTTATATCACTATACTCTGGTTTAGGTTTGCTTCCGTCTTCGCTACTGAGAGACCGATGTACATGAGAATGATGTTTAGGGAAAGTGTCCGTACAACAGTACTGACAGATTTGGTTATCTTTATATCAAATACTCAAGTAACAATGATAGATAATGTACATTCACGGAACTCTCATCTGCAACAAACATAAGAGTCTGGTCTGAACATAGCTACATTGTCAGGTTAAAGCCAAACCTGGCAAATGCAACCAAAGGTTCACGGACATGTGGCAATGCGACGATGTCCCTTCTAAAATCCCTCAATCAACAGAAAGGTCCGTGAACGATAAATGGAACTTTCGTCACCAAAGTAGTGGGTGCCCGACCGGTGATGTCAAGGCGACCTGACATGTAACCATAGAGACTTGATTGTAGTGACAGCCTCATGGTTAAAGACCAGGGTTCGAGTCCTCACATGGGTTCAGTGTGGAGCTGGTTCTGGGATTAATCTCAGTCACAATGCTAAAAGTGGCTCTAAAACTTACACACTCACGTGGTCTCATTGTGAACTAAACGCTTATATCCAGGTTTCAAAATTGGAAGTAATCCTTCACCACTGTATGTTATAGCTAA